AGAGGTGCTTACCAGGGTCCATCATATTAAATTTTTATTAAATTATATTTAGTACTTTAAAAGTTATTCAAAGAAAACCAATTTGCAGGGGAGTCCTTTCGGGGCCCATGTCTCCGTAAGGATGGCCAGTAGGAAAAAAATTTATAGGAACGTGTCATCTTATTTTTTCATGTTCTATCTGAATCCGAGAGATTTCCCACATTTTCCCGGACACCCTGTATACATATAACCACAAGGTTAAGAAAATTTGTGGGTTCGTAAGTACCTACTAAATTTATTGTAATGCAATAGCTGGCCATACACAGACGTTATTTCGCGCGGTTTATCGTGGCGTGTTGGGATGTAGCGGTTATTATGCACGAAAGAACGGCATGGCAAAAAAAGCGTCATGTTCCATACACTTGATAAAGTATTCAAATGATTTAGCAAGTGATTGCCCGTGGTATATCAGTTTCAAAGGAAAAATCGTATGTGAGTGGGCAAAAAGTGTCATTATCGAGTCGTTTGAAACTGCATGTGATCATGTACAAATTTTCAACGTGAAATTTTGCCAAGCAAAGGTAAACCGTGACGCGGAATGTGGCGTGTGGACACGCCACACTCCAGAGAAAAGCACGTCTGAAATCCCTTCCCGTTCTATCATTTCGCGCGGCGATACTCACTCACGTGCATGATTTTCCATATGTTTTTGCAGATAACACGATAAACCGCGCGCAATAACGTCTGTGTATGGCCAGCTAATGTTTCATGTTGAAATGCCTATATTTTTTGTTTCGGTACAATATTAAGAAGGACAACAAAATCAAGTTAAACACTATAGATGTAGTTGTGCACAATAATACAATTTTATTTAACAAGTTTTTTTAAAGTGCGATTTATTAAACGGTGGAGTACGCGCTAGGACCTAACGACGCGGCGCGCCACTAGGTTTAATGCGGGTTTACTCCAAGTCATCTAGTATCTAAACGAGTGCTCACCCCATTACAAAATTTTGAATGCGTTATCTACCGCATTTTCCTTTGAAACATATACACTCGAGTAAACCCGAGTGAACCCGATCGCCCCTCGCCAGATGCATTGTAAGCGGATTGCCGTAGGCGTCGCCTACCAGCAGACCTGGGAGTATCTTGAAAAAAAGATACTTAAAAGTAACTTACATACTTAAAGTATCTAAGATACTTTATTTTAGATACTTTTTATATCGGACAGAAAGTATCTTTAACTTAATTACTTTGGAAAAGTATATAAAAAAGTATCTAAGTTAATCGGTAAAGTAACTAAGATACATTTAAGTAACTTAGATACTTTAAAGTAACTAAGATACTTTTTAAAGTAATTAAGATTCTTTCTAAAGTATCTTAGATACTTTCTTAGAGAAAATTGGGGGAATTCCAGAATGATTCAAAGTAATTACCTAACCTAAAACTTGTTGAACTTTCATAATCTTATAGTTTTTATTCATACTTAAAAGTAACTTAGTTACTCCAAAGAATCTTAGTTACTTAGAAATATCTTAGATTCTTTCATATATTATCTTAGATACTTTCGGATAGATACCTTCTTATCTTGTAACTAAAGATACTTTCAACTCAAAGTACGAGTATCTAGTTAACCGAGGTAACTAAGTTATTTTTTGCATTTGCTAGTGTGTATTTCGAGCGTTTTAACATAAATTAGTTTCTTCTATTTAAGATTATAAGTTATAATGTCCTACACATTGCAAGAGAAATTATAAGATATGATAAGCAGCTTAGGACCAGCTGCTGGTCTTTAGAACGTTCTATTCCGTCAATTAGAACAATAACAAATGTTATCCAAAGGTTTAAATTAATTAATGTATTTATTTATTTACATTTATTTTAAGAAGTTTGATTTTAAGTTTTTTTTTAGGAGAATTATTTTATTTTAGTTTTTAAAGAGGATTTTTATGTTTAAACGTTTTTTTTATAAGAAAACAATTAGTTAAATGCAAAACAAATAATGATTTTACACCTTTAATTAATAATTTACTATTAAAAGTGATTACATTACATTTCAAGTATCTGAATCATGTTTAAAAGTATATTAATTTAATACTGCCTAATTCGTATTAATAATCCAGAGCAAATTTCGACATCAACACACGCTGGTGAAGTGTCCACTACTGAATTGTGAAATTTTTAACCTGAGCCCCGACCACTTTTAAAAAAAATAATAGAACAAATCCTAAAAAAGTGAGAAAAAATTATAATTTGTTATAATTTTTTTTCAAACGAGGTTTTTTCTTACTTTTTTACTCTTCTAAATGTACTTTCAAATATTTTGATTTTTAAATTAATTTTTAACCTGAGCCCGGGCACTTAAAAAAAATCAGAACAAATCCTAAAAAAGTGTGAAAAACTCATAATTTTGTATAATTTTTTTTTCCAAATCTATTGTAATCTTTTAAATGTACCTTCAAATTGTTGGATTTTAAAATTAATTTTTAACCTGATCCCCAAACACTTTAAAAAATTAGAACAAATCCTAAAAGTAGGAATAATTATCCTAATTAAAAAAAAATCAAACGAGGTTTTTTCTTACTTTTTTACTATCCTGAAGGTACTACCAAAAATTCAGATTTATAAATTAATTTTTAACCTGACCACCGACCACTTTTAAAAAAATAATGAAAGAAATTCTAAAAAAGTGCTTCCGATTTTTCATCTTTATTTTTGCTTTTTATTGCAATTTCCGCAAGCGATTTTATGACATTTATGAAATTAAATCTTAGATATTCTAGAGCATCATTTCTTGATGCCCATCTTGTCGGTTTTAACCTTTTTAACGTAATTTTACTTAATGGACAATCTTGAAGTATTTCCCATCGTTTAACACTAGCCAAAAAAAATTATATGCATGGCTGTGTCAAAAAATTGTTTTGCTTCTGCAACATTACTTACAGCATCGTTAATAACTAAATTTATATTGTATGCTGTAAAGTGGATGAATTTGGCGTTTTTTTTAATTTAACAATTTTAGCTTGTAGGGTATATTTCGTTAATTCTACATATAATAAATGCTGAGAAACAAAATGTATTGTTGGCAGGTTAAATGTTTTAATGAGCATTGTTAAGTATGAGAATATTTAAAAAAAAAATCGGAGCGGCGCCTTCGGCGCCTACTCTTCCCTGGCGCCATGGGGCCTTGAATCCCCAGGCCCACCCGGTAGCTACGCCACTGAACACAAGATGACGACGGAACAAAAAAACAACCACATTATACAAAGAAGAATAAAAAATGAAAAAAATATTGGAAAACACAGCCCACTGTCTCTTGCAAGAGATATATACAAATTAAAATTAGGTGATATAATAAAAATTCAATTCCAAGGGTAAACATACATTAAAAAAAATTTAACTCCGCTAATAATTTTATAAAACATGGGAAACAGTATTGTGCGAATTAATGTGAACATTGGGAATTTCTGTATTATTTTAACTTTGAACACTTCTGTGACAATCCTGACAGGTGTTTCTTGACATATCCCAAAACATATCATTCTGCATTAAGTTATTGCTAATGTCATTTTGCACGTAATTGCGACTAATTTACACTAGGACAAAAAGGGTTACTCGCCTGTAAACTCACCGGACATTAATCCTATTGAGAATATATGGGCTATATGTAGAGTTGGGGATGGTCAATTGACCGCTACCTATTTGACCGGTCAAAATGTATTTAATTTTTGCAGCATTTTATTTAGGTATCAACAATTACCCGTGAATCTCAAAATTTTTGGGATCGTGCAATATCGACATCATTTACAATTTGGTGGTTCTCCGAGTCGAGGGGTTGCTAGGCCGGACTCGGCGCTTTGCCCTTAAAGCGGGACATATCTTTTTTAATAGCGAAACAAAACTTTTTAAAGCCGCACAAACGTTTCTAAAGATGGACATAACTTTTATAATAAAAAAAAATTGGTAACGTATTTTAATTACCTATTTGTTAAGCACAAATAAATCACAGTAATATTTATTTTGATATTTTATTTAATTTTATTTTGGCCAATTGACCGGTCAATTGACCAAAAACAATTTGACCGGTCAATTCCACAACCCTAGCTATATGCAAGGCCCGGTTGCTTCAGGTATGGTTTCGAGAAGACAAAATATTGATAAAATCTATGCCAAAACGAGTTAACCCTTTAATAAAGGCCAAAAGGGGAACATATTTCCTATTAAGTAATACTAAAATATTTATAAACTAGTACTGTTTGTATTTTTTAGTTCAATAAAGAATATTTAATTAAATCTATTCACATTAATTCGCACAATACTGTAATAAAAAATAAAGGTTTTACCCCCAATATTGTACTAAAAATATTACCTGTAGAACGAGTATATATAAAAAATTAATATTAGTTTGTATACGATCAGAAGATGCTACTGTGTAGCGAAACAATTGTCATATTTAAATAAAATAGTAAAACTTTTAAACAGTGTAGTTTATATTAACATGGAGTTTCATCAAGTAAAAGTCTAAACAATTAATTAATAAATATCATTTCCCTTTATGAAAATTAATTGTTTTTTCTTGTTTTGTATATTTATTGAAAATTGAAAAACTTTTGTGGGTTTTTTCTTGAATGGTGTAAGTCTACCACCAAACGCCCAGCGCGTGACGGCGTAAAAATATTGTGTTATTCAACATTTTAATAAAAATTTTATTTTGGCTAAAACCTAACAGGAAAAGCTTAAAATAATCTTAAAAGCAAATTAATTTTTTGAAAAAACTCAAGTGGGGTTTGGCCCTACCCTCATTTTTTGGTTCCAAGTCACAAACTACAAATAAACCTATAAATTTAAAACAAAAATACATTCTAATATTAATCATTTCTTTTAAACCAATTTCTTTTTAGACTATAACATATAAGCCAATACAAATTAATAATTTAACTAATAAGAAGAAAATTCTGATTTGAAAACAAATGAAAGGAAAAAACAATTAAAAAAATGCTAATTGAAAACATTTCTACTTACTTTTGGCGGATCCAACAATAAATTATGAAAGTCTTTGACACGTTTTCGAATTGACTGGGTGGTATTAAAAATTATCTTTTGCTTCAGTTCTATGTCATTGGCTTCATCATTGATATTGGTGCTATAAATGTTTTGCATGTATTTGGACATGCTGGTTTGGTAAACGTCCATCAGTGCCAAAAGTACTTGTATGCCACCAACAATAGCTGATTCGCTTTTCTCTTCACCCAAAATTTGTTCCAACAGTAAGGCTATTGTTTCAGACCTATAAAACATACGTCAAACATTTATGATTATATGAACAAGTTAATTTGTAATTTTCTTACGATTCTAAAGTGTTAAGTAGGGGATCGGGATCAGCTCTTTCTGTGGAATTGCGTTGAGTATCTCGAGCTATTCTAATAAAATCACACAGTAATTGAGCAACATTATAGTGTCTTTCTTTGTCCACCTTTGGATCAAACAACATAACCAAAGATTGCATGATTCTTTGACTATCCAGCCACTTAAAACAAATTACATACAAAAATAATTTTAAATGAATTAAGTTGTTTTACTTTGTCAAGCCATAAGTCTCTAAAAAAATTGGCGCGCTTTTAGAAAAAGTAACAATTAATAAATGTTATTACAAAACCGTAGGTAATATTAGTCAATTTTTAGGAAAATTCATATCCAGTTCGTTTTGTTTGTCGTTCTGAAATCACGATGGAAAAAAAAGAGACCATTAAATTTTGTGTAAAAAATGAATCACACGGTGGTGAATGTGTAATTCGCAGTCTAACTTTGACTAATTTCAACAAGCAGCCTACAAAAGGAGTCCTAACTTAATAGGGGAAATTGATAAAACCTGCCCACTAAATTACACAAATTAGGTCTTGTTTTTTAACCACCAGCGGCGCTGATTGTCGATGCGTACTGGCGTCTGCTGTTTTCGTAGCGTTTCGGTACAAATCAAAGAATCAACAGAACACCAGCACCTTTCTCGCCCCTATGGAGAGTCTCCATTGGAGACGGCCAAATTTAACTTTACCATAGTGTAGAAAGAATAGTACATTATAGAGCAGACAAATAAAGCACAAATTATCGCCGAGCATAAATTTTACTGCCGAGGCAGTGTGCGAGGAAATTAATAAACTTTCGCCGCCGAGTTTTAGACACTATTTGTTTTAAAGCATTTAATTAAAGAATTTCGAAAGATTCTGTCACATCATTTTAAGTTCAACTGATATAATGACATTTTAGCTTTACCGAGTTTAATAATAATTCGACTTTTAAACTAGTATTAATAAGAAGTCTTTCTATACAAACTAATGAGTCTTATAATATGAAAATTATTGCACTTTTGACAATAATAGTATATTGTAGACCTAGGCGGTAAAGTGACATTTTTCCAGACTGAAAGAAGAAATGTAAAGGCGAGCTTAAGCGCCCCTGGAAACTTCTTGAAGCCTGAATAATCTGCCGTGGTTTATACGTTATTATTCTTTCTACACAACATAACTGCAAAAATTACTAAAATATAAATAGCAAATTTTGACATTTAAAATAATTTAATTTTAAAATGCATGTCATCTACAAAACAGACAGCCTGCAGGTACACCTAGACTAGGGTGGGCCGAAAAACGTAAAAAAAAAATATTTGAGATATTTATTTTTGGGTGGCAATAAAAAGTTACCTTATGTTAAAAGTAATTTATTAGAAAAAAATGTAGCGTACTAGCCCATTATTTAAGGGTCCCCCAGGGGCCCAAATAATTTTTTTTTGTATGTTTTGACTGGGGTGGGAACAAAAAGTTACCTTATGTTAACAGTAATTCTAGAAAAAAAGAGCGTACTAGCCCAATATTTAAGGGTGCCCCGGAGGCCCAAAATATTTATTTTTATCATATTTTAATTGGGGTAACCACAAAAGTTACCTTATATTAATTAACAGTAATTCTAAAAAAAAAAAATGAGCGTACTAGCCCAAAATTTAAGGGTGCCCCGGAGGCCCAAAATATATTTTTTGTTCATATTTTAATTGGGGTAACCACAAAAAGTAACCTCATGTTAACAGTATGTTTAGAAAAAAATAGCCCAAATTTTTTTATATATATTTTAATTGAGATAGCAACAAAAAGTTACCCCATGTATTATTGCATAGACAAACCAAATGTCTGTATCAGTCTAAGTTTTTTTATTATTTTATTTTGATGAAAAAAATTAGCAACTCTTAGCTTGATTTTATTAAATTTAAAAAAGATTTTGCGTTACTCTAAATTAATTAACACAACCACTATCGAAATAAATAAAGTCTTAAAAGAAGTAAATGCTTGGTCAGTTAATCATAGACTTCAGTTAAATGCCAAAAAGAGTCTTGTAATAAATATTGGTACAGTATAATATATATAACACATATAACACAAACTAAGTTGTCTTGTAACATGGCTTTCAAAGTTCAGGTTTGTATAAAAAATAACACCCAGATTTCTTGCTGTTCTTGCTAAGGTATATCTATATTATTTATATGTATGCATACCATGGTATTAAAATTATATTGTTTTGATTTATTTATCATATATTATATGATAAATAAATCAAAACAATATAATTTTAATACCATGGTATGCATACATATAAATAATATAGATATACCTTAGCAAGAACAGCAAGAAATCTGGGTGTTATTTTTTATACAAACCTGAACTTTGAAAGCCATGTTACAAGACAACTTAGTTTGTGTTATATGAAGCTGAAATCACTATATTAATTTAAGTATGTTCTAAATTCTAACACCAAGTGCAAAATTGTCTCAACATTAATATACACCCTATTATAGACTATTGCATGCCAGTCTACTACTCATATCATACTGAAACATTTAAAAATAAACTCATGTATTAGATTCATATATTTAGTCGGAAAATTTGACCCCATTACTTCAATCTATTTGAAAAACAAGCATTTAAAAATAATTGATCCTTGCAAGCATAATTTTGGAAAATTAGTTCAGAAAGTAAATACCTAATAATTGCCTGAATACCTATTCAACAACTTTATTCAATGATCCAATAAATACAATCTTAATTTAAGACACAATCTTTTTCAAATACCTAGTCACAAAACTTCAAAATCTAAGGATTCGTTTATAGACCTATCTATAAAACTTTTGAACGATAAAACATTCTTTAACATAATATTTAAATATCCAAACACATTTAATTTAGAGTACAAAAATTTGTTATTAACTGGTGTGATATTTAAAACTTAAGTAAATAGTATGAAATTATAGGATTTAGTTTAATTAATACGTGATATGCAGAATAAAATAGATTTAATTTCTTAGTAGGTGGTGTGGAAGAACGTCCTTACGAACGCAGCCTATTGTGTAATTAATTTTGTGTTTTACGCAATAAAGCATTTTTATTATTATTATTATTATTATTATTAATTAATTGGATATTTGCTCCTCGAGTTCCATCCGCTCCCTCCCACCCAGTTTTTTTATTATTTAAATAATATTGAGACTTGTTGTCATATAGGCCGGTAAAGATGTCCGCGCATCTATATATATATGGTTATAACCATTTATTGCTACCTCACAGCAAATTTTTAATGCAGCTTCCGTTACAAGCTTCACAAACTTTTCCACCGCTTGCGTGTGAAAGGGAAACTTGGCGAACCTTATATAGAAGTCGTCTGCTTGACTTATAAATATTTTTAGTTCTTTTATTAAAAAAAACATTTCCAAATTTATAAACATTTTTAACCCTAGAATTTGCTAAACCGCCAAATTTTTTACGTCAAATTCTAATATTGGACATTTTTTTGTAAACATATTGTTAACATAAGGTAACTTTTTGTGGCTACCCCAATTAATATATAAAAAAATTTTTGGGCCCCCGGGGCACCCTTAAATATTGGGCTAGTACGCTTATTTTTTTTCTACAATTATTGTCAACATAATGTAAATTTTTGTTGCCACCCCAAACAAAATATAAAAAAATAATATTTTGGGCCCCCAGGGGGACCCTTAAATATTGGGCTAGTATGCTAAATTTTTTTTTTACAAACTACCTTTGGCATAAGGAAACTTTTTTTTGGTACCCCTAAATTGAATTCAAAAAATAATTTTTTCGGCTCACCCTAACCTAAACACAGTTAAATACTCGTATAACTTTGTACAGAAATCTACACTTTAATATTAAAAATGTATTTTATAATTTGCTTATATTAGATTATATCAGTCCGATTATTTTATAGAAAGAATACAGCCTTTTGTTAGAACCAAAAAAGTTACTTACAATTGTAAAAATTTTATTTTTTATTTTAACATAATGCCCTTTATTATAAAAAGTTAAAAAAAAATTACTGCCAAGGCATTTGTGATTATTTATAGAAATACCTTTCTTGCCCCTATGGAGACGGTTTTTATCCGATGTCGTTAAGCCCTGCATAAATCAAACTGTAAATAAATAATTTATTATTTTTATAATATAATATAATAATTATTTATTATACCCAAGTAAAAAAGCCACTTATAAACTACAAACTAAAAAGATAATGACAATACTTTTATTTTGATTTAAAAAGAACTTTTTTGTGTAATTTTTTGTACAAAATTTTCAAAATTATGTTTAGACTGTTTACAAATAATTTAGATAAAAAAAATCAACCTAGAAAATAACAGACATAGGATATCCTAATGTAAATATATAGATAAAAACAACAGAAATCACAATTAAATATTATTATTACTCACTTATGAAATAAAATTCGTTATTCGATGATAACAGATTTTTATTAAAAACGCTCGGAAACGTAAACTGTACTTTTTTTATTCAAAATCATATAATTATAATTTTAAATTGTTTGTCCCCACCACTATCAATTTTCTATGAAAAAAGTGGGGTTGTTGTTTAAAATGCATTAAATGTGGTAGTGGGAAATGGTGGGGGCAAACAATTTTAAAATTATAATTATAAAATTTTACATAAAAACATATTTTCTCCTCAAAAAACAAATTTTATTCCATAAGTGAGAACACTGTATATAAATATTATAAAGTTATTAGTCATAAATGATTGAGAAATTTTTTCGTTTTTAAGCCCGTATTACGTGCAATTTTTCTTGCATGCAAGTTTTATTGCAGACACTTTGCAATTCCAATTTCAACTTGCATGATACAAATCGAAGAAAAATATAAAATTTTATAAAATATTATAAAGTAGAATTAAAATTAAACTTTTGCCACACGATATTATAATACATATTATTTAATAGAATTTAGAATGCAAAGAAACAACACATACATGTATGACTCAAATAACAATCCTGCGCCCTCTAGGGCACAGAACATAAGAGAATTAAAAGCGCTTTAGTCAAAAGTGGCAACAAGCATTGGTTGATTTTTAAATCTAGCAGCCTTGGAAAACCGAGTTGTTTTTTTCGGCGGGAAATTTGAATGATTGGCTATTTGAATTTTTATTTAAAACAAGGAAATATAACCGAAAATTGTTTAAATTTTATATTTTTTTGATTTTAAAAGGATTATATACGTAATATTGTCCATTAAAAATCAAAAAATATAAAATTTCGACAATTTTCGGTTATTTTCCACTGATTAAGTGGAAAAACACACATTTTTGTTTTTTTAAATAAATATATTTAACAAAATATACACTTAATTCAATTTTAAATTAAAGTATAACTAACAAATAATATTTAAATGAGGAGAAATTCAAAGTTAATTATTCTATAACTTTTAGTGATATTTAAAAAAAGGTTTATCAAACATGTATAATAATTTATAATTATTTAGGTATAATTTATCAAAAAGTATGACATTAAATTGATAATTACCCTCTTATATATGCCTACAAGACAATTATCGCTTGATTACAGCGATAATGTTCAGAAATTTTAATTTTGTGTCACATAATAACAATTTTTATAGGTTTTTTAAGATTTCTTAATAAAAATGCAAAGGTTTATAAACAAATTAACTCTAAAACATATTACAAACCATCAAAATATTTGATAAATTCTTGATAAACAATAGTTCAATACTTATTGGTCCAGTTCGAGTATATTATATAATTAAAATTATTTGAACTTTAAATATGTAATTCATAAAAATAAATAATTTTGTAATACATACTGACTTATTGTATACCTATAGGTATTTCCAAATTTCTTTATTGGAATAAATCAAAAGGCTTATGCATAAAATGTTTAATGCCATAATTAGACATTACAAACCATACTCTTATAATTTTTAGGAATTATGATTATAATTTGTTTTTAAAATAAGCACAATACTGTAGTTTTGTAAAATATAGAATTTTTGGCAAAAAGGAATTCCTACTTATCCAAAAATTAAATTACATTCTTTGGAATATTTAATTTTTAGTAAAATTGGTTTAATTAAAATTAATAATCAATAGAACCACTTAAATCTCAATGTTAAAAACTTTGTTATTATGTATTTGGCAAAATGAAAATCTTTATGTATGATTTAACTTTCTGGTCAATATTAATTATTAATTGTCTTTTTTCTTGTTCATGATTCATGGATTGAACCTGCGTCTTTTTCTTGATTCAATGAAGAATATTCAACTGCAATTAATATTTTCTATGTTCTTTTGCAAAGAAGTTTGATAAATTCAAGTCCTGTCTGCTTCTTCCATTAACACAAACCCAAACCTGAAATCAATACCAATTTTAAAATCAATTTAAATTGTAAAACAATTGATATTACCTAATAATTTTTAAAATAAAATAAAAATAATGTATCAATATTTATGCTAAAGGTAATTGTTTTACCAGCATAAAAATAATTGAATGGTTTATTGTAAAAACAAGCTAAATAACTAACTAAATATGATTTTGTTTAATTTTTAATTTAAAAATCTAATAATGGTTAACTTGTGCTGTTTTAACATGAAAATATCCTTTTTTAATATCCTGATAAAAATCCTAAATAAAATATTTCTGCCTCAAAATAATAATTTAAAGCAGGAGTGTATGTAATATAAAAATGTCAGATTGATTGTTTTAACAATTATTATAAACAATTTAATTATATTTGGAGTAAATACTAAAAGTGTACTTTCTTTAATGGTCAGGCTTTTACTTTTTTTATATTTGGATTGTAACTATGGATGTGTGAATATTGAATTCAAGAATTATTTGAATAGTTTGAATGTTTCAAATTTTTAAATGGTTCAATTAGAAAATTAAAATTTTCCAATAGTAATTGAAGAAATGGAACATTGGAATTGTAATTTAAAATTTATTTTGAAATAAAAAGAATGTTATTTACTTGTCATTAACCCTTAATTAACTTATTTGAATAGATTATGATTGTAATTATTGAACTATTCAAATAATTCAAATATTTATTATATAAATATTTAATTTTAAGTTTGAATTAAATATTACTACTTAATTTATTTGGTAAAAATATTCACACCACCAATTGTAACTAAAAATGAATTCTAAATAAAAAAAAATATATCTACCTATTATTAAAAACAATTGGTCAAATATTTCTGTTTGGGATTGACAAGTAAAGCTTCCATTCTTTTTCTTCATGCAGGATAAATCTTGTCTAATTGTTCCATTATTGCAGAAGCTAAAATTAATTATATTAAATTAAAATCAATTTATATTGTAGCAAAAAATAATTGAATTAAAAACTTTAAAAATAATTCTTTAAAAGGTTTGCTTATGAATTGTCTAGTTATTTATGTACATTAAAAATGTCAGACTTTCAGATAGAAAAAATGAAGGGGTCAATGCAAGAATTCTTGCACCTAAGTGCCTAAGTCGCATTTTCAATTAAATTTACATTGTGGCTTCATCTAAGAGTGTTTCACGTAAGGTTTCAGGTGGTGTTTTCAAAGTGGCAGAAATATGTGCCCAAGTGCCTTAGTTTGCATTTACTTCAATGGGAGTTTGCCTGGTTTTCAACTTATGTGAAAACTCTTGCATGAAGCCACAATAACAATTTAATTGAAAATGTGACTTAGACACTTCTTGCATTGACCCCTTCAAATAAAATAACTATAAAAATACTGTAAAAGATTATCACCCTGTAGTTCAAAATGCTATATGCTATGTAAAGAAAACATGGAAAGCACAAAACATTTGTAATATAATCAAGTTTTGAACTGTATGCTTACAAGTGTTTAATATGACCTCTTCCAGCTGCAAACATCTTGTAGATACTCGGCAGTTCCAATTCGTGTATTTAGCTTTTACAAATCTTGGGGCTCATAAACGTTATCTTTTATAAAGCCCCAGAGAAAGAAGTCGTACACTGTGATATTGGTTGAACGTGTTGACCATACATGAAGTGCCAAATTGTTGGGCCCTTTACGTCCGATCCACCGATGAGGGGGCTGTTCGTTCAATAACCTCCGCTCCACCAAATTCCAATGTAGTGGGGCCCTGGACCCAGGTCCAGTTTTCGCGTCGCTACATCAAATAATTTTAACAAAAACATACATTTTGACAAAGATTATAGGTATATTTAACATTTTGTATAACAGCAACTAGTGTCGAGAAAAAAAAACGTTAAAAACTGTTTTGATTGAAAGTTTTGAATCAAAACGCTTTAAAACTAGGTATTTAAATTCTATCAAAACTTGCATTAGTTAAACAACCCATAAGCAAAGAGTCTTTACTCTTTGCCATAGGTTTCATTACATAAAAAAAATTTTATTAACTACATGTGTTTTCGGTAAACATAGAGAAAAAAACCGATACGGTTTATCACACGTATTTTCTTATATTAAACGCGGTAACGATGCTACAACTAACTCAAACTTGACTAAAAACACCTAATAAAATTTTAAAGCCGAAATTAACAAGTTTACTTACCTAAAACAAAGAAAATTTGGATTATAAAACTTCGTACACACCACTTCAACAACGCTGTCGGCCATTTGTAATTTCTCAAACCGAACATCAACGAACAAGTTGGAAAAGACCAATCACAACAAAGTAAGAATCACGTGGTTAATAACTGGGGTTTGTCAAAAACAACTTGGGTTTCAACGCATGCTAGATTTATTTTACTGTTGCCTGTTGTCAAATTCCCCTTATACCCCCCTGCTCTAGGGAATTTAAAGTGTGGATTGGTATAAAAAAGTAAACAAATTTTCCCCCGGCAATAGACTTGCACAAAACGTCGCCATGCGCATGTCTTCATGCAAGAGTATTGCACGAAGAATTGCAGACTTAAATACGGACTTAAGATTTTTTCTCCATAACTGAATCGAAAATTAAAAAGGGCATTCAAAATATTTTATTTTGAACACCCTTTGTAAGGCTTTTAGTTGTTTAATTCCAATAATATGTTTATATTAATTATGTTGTATGGTCCATACATTATTTTTTGAGTTATTTAAAGTCCCCTTGTCACACTGCTTGACAGTATTTTTAACATTAATTTGTATGAACTGATCTTTGACCAATTTAGTGATAATATTTGTTAATAAGAATATTGTATTTACGTTTGCAGTTGTGCTTAAAATAAATTACACGTACTTCAAACAGAACTTATGGCATGACAATGCAATAAAATTATAGGTGACAAATTAGGGTTGGAGCATAAAAATGATAATACTTACGTTAAGAATGTTTTGCCTGATTTCGACCCCCTCGACCTGAGTCATAATCTTGAGCATGAGATCCATGATGGCGGAAGTGCCTAAGTGTTTGAGCAGTAGCGATATGAAGGTGTCCTTAGCCTTTAAAAAGTCTAGGACCTGTAAGCAAGTCATCTGATAGGACAACCAGTTCTGGAGCAGACCGGAAAAATAGGAGTACGTAAGCAATTGGAAAAACGGAAAAAATGAAATTTAAAACATTTGTCTACTAGTGTCTACTTCTGCTACTTAAAATAAATTACATACAAATAACTACAAATTAATGTACAGACCTCCATAGGTTAGACAAATTATAAGCTTGTTGATTTTTATTTATAAGTGATTTTTATAAAATTTGTAATACAAAAATTTTTAGAAACATACATACAGTTGCCAAATTTATAAATTTCTAGGAAATTGAGATAATTTTTCGAAAGTATAAGGCTTGTGTAATTAAGTATAATGCTTAATTAATTTAGTGGAACTCATATAGTTAAATAAACCTTTATGTAGAATAATAATAATAATAAATGAACTTTATTGCAAAAAAAAGTTAATACAATTTCTTACAAATGGCCATTGACCGAGGTCCTTCATGTAGATTAATCGCAAACATAGAAAAAGTTAAAAAATCCCTTACATATTTGGGGTTACACATTTCTTGGGAATTTCAGACCACCCCTCTCCACATGTTACAGGTTAAAACACCTCTTTATCCAGAGTCACGTCACACTTGGATACGATTTTTTTTTGTGTTTAGGCCTCCCTCTTGACATTTCACACTTCTACTTTATGGAAGACTGGTCATGTTATTGAGGGAACGTTCTCGATTGTGCTCGGAGAATGTTCGCGAAGCTTTAAATGAATTTGCGCTCACTCTTTTGGCCGAGCCTTTTGGAGCACAATCGGTAACTTTTCCTTAAACATGCTCGAAAATTTTCGTTAAAATGCTCTATCGCTAACAGGTAAAACGCGACAAAAATGGCAACATTGCGACCGCTTTTGCGATAATCATATGTGGCGTGGCCGCTGTCTTTCTAAAGGGTGTTTTTTTAGAGTTTTGATTTTTAAAATAAAATAAAACACAATAATATCCTGGTAATGGCCATAAAAATTGCTTTATTACAAAGATAATTATATGCCATTATTGTTTACATATGATTTCGGGCATATGTGCGCTGCGGCTGGCTCGAATAAAAAAAATTGGATGCCCAATTTTGGACCACTTTTTCGAGCAGCAATAAGGCTTTTTTAATTGAACGGCTACGTGAACAAACAAAATTGCAGGATTTAGAGTGAAAGCCAACCTGGAGCCATACATACTATTACGACCACGAAAATTCACGGTTTGTTGTGCTTTATGGGCTGGTGGAATAATTTACCCATTTTTCTTTAAAGACGATGACGGTCAGAACGTTACCGTCAATGAAGGCGCTATAGGTCCATGATAATTGACTTTTTTGCTCCTCAATTAAATGGGTTAATGTGCAACAGCTTTGGTTTCAACAGGACGGCGCAACATGCCACACATCGCACGACACAATAAGGTTATTGCACGAAACTTTCGATAAGCGCATAATTTCGCGTAATGGTCCTGCCAAATGCCTCCCCGATCCTGTGATCCCACGCCCTGGATTATTTTCTATGGGGATATGTGAAGTCGCTGATCTACGCCGATAAACCAAAGACATTGGATCACTTGGAAGACAACATTTGTAGAGTTATTGCCGATATACGGCCTCAGCTGCTCGAAAAAGTGGTCCAAAAATGGACATCAAGATTGCGTTTTATTCGAGCCAGCTGCAGCGCACATATGTCCGAAATCATATTTAAACAATATTGGCATATAATTATATAATATTTTTGCAATCAAGCGATTTTTATGGCCATTACCAGGATTTTATTGTGTTTTATTACATTTTAAAAATCAAACCTCTAAAAAAACACCCTTTATATACATTTTTATCTAATAATTCATTAATTAAGGGGTAGGTAATCAAAATTATAAAAATGTCAAATTATTCAGCAATTAAATTTTTATAACTAATTCGTAATCAAAATAAATAAAAAAATTCAAATTTGCACTCCTTGGTGGGACACTGAATGTCAAGAATCAATAAACAAAAGAAAAGAAATCATGAAAAAATTCAACTCAAACCCTAGCCTAGAAAATTACTTAGAACCCGGACAACATTCGTGATATTCATACGAACATCATGTCGTGATTTTCACAAACTTTATTCATACTGATATCATACGGAAGTCACCGCGTGATAAATGAAAATCATACGAACGTCACGTCGTGATTTTCACAAATTTTATTCATACGGACATCATCCGGATGTCACTGCGTGAGAAATGAAAATCATGTCGTGATTTTTTATGCCATCGCTGTTTGCGATTGACCGATGAAAAATCATGTCGTGATTTTTTATGCCAACGGTGTTTGGATAATCATTTTTGCGCCACGTTCGTACACTAAGAGAAAAATTATGTTGAATCAACAGTTTTTGCGGTTAAATAAATTTAATATTTTCTTGGATTTAAATTAACTATATATAGTTAATTTAAATCCAAAAAAAATATTGAATGTATTTAACCACGAAAACTGTTGATTCAATATACATATACTATATATATATATGTAGGTATACTTTTTCTCTCAATGTACGAATGTGGCGCAACAATAAATATCTAAACACCGATGGCATAAAAAATCACGACATGATTTTTTATACCATCGGTGTTTGGATATTCATTTTTGCGACACATTCGTACATTGAAGGAAAAAGTATGTTAACAATTGAATCAACAGTTTGACATGATTTTTTGTGCCATTGGTCAATCGCAAACAGCGATGGCATAAAAAATAACGACATGATTTTCATTTCTCACGCAGTGACATCCGGATGATGTCCGTATGAACAAAATTTGTGAAAATCACGATGTGACGTTCGTATAATTTTCATTTATTACGCGGTGACTTCCGTATGATATCAGTATGAGTAAAATTTGTGAAAATCACGACGTGATGTTCGTATGAATATCACAAATGTTGTCCGGGTAGGTTTTAAATTCGCAGTTCGCAGGGCTCATACGCATGCGCAAATTTTGCAAATATCACACCGTGAGTTCTACATGATATCACTGTGATGAAGCATGTGTATGCACTCAGTATCCTGATATCTCACAGCATGATAAAAAAATCACTTTGTGATATCATCATGACTTCACCAGGAAATCCCGATTGTTGCCCGGGAAGTAAAAAAACAAATTGCAAAATGTAGAAGATTTTTAACAAAGAAAAAAAAAGAAAATTTTAAATTATTCTCTTCATCCCTAAATCGAGACTCAAATATCAATCACATATGGAAAACAATAAGAAAATTCTCAAACAATCATAGTAACTTTAAAAGCCGCCTCCCAAGCAATGAAATTGCACCTAAAATCCTTGAAAAATTAAATAAAATAGATATTAACCCTAACCATCAATTAGTGACAAATGACATTCAGGCCCCACCAATCACAGTAGAAGAGATCAAATTCTCCATTAAATACAAAAAAGATTCAGCAACAGGGATGGATGAGATCTCGTACTCCATTTTAAATAACTTACCTGAAAAGGCTACACATATTCTTTGCAACATCTTTAATGAAAGTATTAAGACACAAACCATTCCCGACCAGTGGAGGGATTACATGATAATAGCAATTTTAAAACCTAATAAACAACCTGAAACCAACAACTATAGACCTATAGTATTAACATCATGTTTCTTAAAAACATTAGAAATACTAGCCATCTTTATTATAAAGGCAGCATATAATAACGTAAACACCTCAATCATCTATAATTACTTATCAAAACCCAACATACCTCATAATTACTCAAACTTAATCTATAATATTCTCACAGGAACTTGTTTATTAGGGATTGCGACAACCATATTCATGGCCCTGCATTGGTCGGGAATGGTCTGGCACAGGGATTCCCATTGAGCCCATTGCTATTTAATATTTATATCCAATCAATATTTAAGGTAATTCCCAAAAATATAGGCCTACTGTCATATGCTGATGATCTGGTTCTCGTTACCAGGGGTAATAATATAAAAAAAATGACAGAAACCATTAGCAAAACTCTAAATAATATAAATCTATGGTTTTCTAAACATAAACTCTCAATATCATCAGACAAAACTGAATTCATATGGTTCAGGAGAAGAAAAAGTAAACAATCACCACCAACGATAAAAATAGGAAATAAGGAAATAAAACAGCAGGCAAATATCAAGTATTTGGGAGTTACCTTCAACGAATTTCTTAATTGGAACAACCAGGTTACGGGAATGATTGCTAAAGCCAACCAAGGCATTAATGTGATGAGAGCAATAGCATGGGTTTACTGGGGAGCAGACCCCAAAATATTGTTAATGGTATACAATGGTCTAGTAAGATCACAATTAGATTTCGGATCAATTTTATTAAGTCCCATACAAAAAAAATTGAAAAATAGACTTCATTCCACCCAGAATAAAGCATTAAGGGTTATTACAGGCACTATGAAAACCACTTCAAACAACGCCCTACTTGCAGAATGTGCAGAACCCCCATTATCTGAAAGAAGAAAATGGTTAACAACCAAATTCTTATCAAAAATAATTCAATTTAAATCTCACCCCTTAATTCCCATTATGGCAATGCTAAAACAAGAATGCTCAAAACCAAACACATATTGGAAATCAAAAGAATACCCCTACATCATCCAAGTAACACCCCTACTTAATAAATACTTAAACAAAATTAGAAGAAGTGATCTCATGCCTTGCTTTGAAATCGAATATTGTTACCAGTTTGCCCAAATTAAAAATAAAAATCTAAACTTAAGAAAAAACTATATAAACAATAAAATAAAATTTTTAGCAAAACTCGAAAAATTTAAAACAAATAAATACAACATCATTTATACAGATGCATACAAAAATAAACATAAAACGGGTATAGGAATCTATATGCCTGAGAACGATATTCGATTTTCGGCAAGACTCCCAGACCATCTCCAGATATGCACAGCAGAAATGGCCGCAATATGTAAGGCTGTAGAAATTGCAATCTCTAAAAATATAAAACGTAACCTAATTTTAACAGAATCT